AGAGAGAGATGTCGGAAATGGAGAAGTTCTCCTTCTATGGTGTTGCTCTCTTTCGCGGGAAAAATGCATGTTCCACCCCATGACATGGTAGTGAAATCGAACTTGATTCTTAGATCGCAGAGAGTGTCTTGACCTATGATCACGTTTTGCGCCCCCAAGTTCTTGGTGACGTGTAAATTCCCATTGATAATCTATCATCGTGGAACTCAGAATCGCGAGTGTGCCTTACACTTCGTGCGGGGTCTATTCCTTCATAGAAGAGTCCGTAATGTTTGGACGCCCCCATGATTCTTCATAGTAAACTCTTAGATGAGTTTTGAGCAATTAAGGTTCCGGATGCTTCTGTATCCAGTAAGCAACGAGTGTACGGGTTTTGTTTTCCCTTTCTCTCGTCTGTTAAATCTAACATAGACGATAGTTTCGAGGTCTCTTGTCTTGCGACGTTGATGAGTTGATTGGCCATGGACGAAGTACGATGCTGAACAGATCGTCAGGTCTAGTTGAGTAGTTGCTAGGCAATTATCTAATTTGCCGTAGACTCTTCAGTTGCAAACAAATCTTGTTTACTATTTAGTGAGATATCTTAATCACTTAGGTATGAGAAATCGGAACATGGTTCCGTTGAATCATATCCTGGCCTAATCCTCAGACGAAGATCTCTCCGTCCGAATGATTGAAGTCGAATTCGCAAGGCCTTGTCACGCAGCCATTTTCTTGTCCATCATGTTTGATGGATCCAACAGAGGAGTCGTCCTCGTTTCGGAGTTGTCAGACTTGGCTTGGCAACATGGTTGCATTCGCTTTTCTTCTTCGATCAGCCTTGACCGCAGCGTTGGAAACCTTCTTCATGAGGACGGAGAGTTCTTCTTGGTGTAGGTCTTGGCGTCGTCGACTTGCGTTTCCAAGTCTTGTTCTTGTTGTACGCTGGCTTTGTATCGTTGTCAGACGAGGACTGAGACTTGGCCTTGAGCTTCTTCAGTCATGCAGTCAGCGTGTTGTGAGTGCTGACTGTGGTAGTCGCACATTTTTCTTCGTTCTTGGAAATGGTCGTTGTTGCGAGAAGACTTGTACTTCTTGCTGTTGTTTCTTCTTCGTAGGGCTTGTTGGCATCACGCCCTTGTAAAAGTCTTCGGAGGATTCCATGCGTTCGCAAGAATCCAATGGTTTCTCCGATAGAGCTGAGAAAGGATCGAAGTCGTGTTCGTCCATCTTCTTCATCCACGAGCGTGGAATTCCATGACAAACAATGTCAATGACTTCGTCATGGTTCAACGTTTGGTTGGGTCAAAAGGTGGTAGACGAGGAGTTCATCGGTGTTCATCCGACTGAGGTTTTGTTACATAAGCCCAGTAGACATATCAGCAGGCTTACGCATCTTGCGGCGAATGAAGCGTTTCTGCTTTCAAGAGCCTTGTAGGGACAGACCGCTCGATACAGGCATTTATGCCAAACGTAATGTCAGGTCGTCCAAAGCAGGCTGAGCTGCTCCGTTCCAGGCAGCCTGGAAACGTGCTTGGAAAGTGGCTTCGTCTTCACCACCACGTACGTCGCGTGGAGAATGCCGTTGACTGCAATCTGGCCAAGGCATTCCAACGTACTTCACGGTGGCCTGCACAGCTTAGATTCGTAACTGCTCTTTGCAGAGCTAGAAGTCATCTCCTTGAGGAGGATGTTTGTCGGTAGCGTAGCAAGGGAGCAACGAAAACCTTCTCCATGCGTCCAGCCCACTTAATGGTCTGACGTGGAGTCTCAGATCCATTGATGATTTGGACCTTGAAGGTGTACTTGGCGCTGTTAGCATCTGCTGGAACAGTGCGAATTTGTAGGTGGTAGAGCGAGATCGTCGATTTCGCAGTCATCGTCGAGGTCGATGAGAGGAAGGATTGGTTTGTCGGCAGCTTAGACTCGAAGCTGGTGTATGCGTCTTTGGCAATCTTCATGGTGAGGAATAGGTTGAGGGTAGCTGAAAGCTATTGTGCATTTTGTTAACAAAATGCACTACGCTAAAAGCTAGTGTAAAGATCTTTCGAGTGTTTTGAGTTTGAGAGAATGAAAGTTATAAGAGGATTAGAAAGCTATGAAAACTAATCGACGAGAGAGATCCACAATCAAAGGATCGTAGATCTGAACTCCCGCGGGAGACTGTAGAGTGTGATAGAGTAGGTTGCGGTAGCAATCCTACTCACTCCACGATCCAAAAACGGAACGCGTGGAAGATTCGTCTAGCATTTATCTAGTAGTAGCGTGGAATCTCTCCACGCCAGCTAAATATCTAGCGCGATGTTTCACCATCGACCTAGTATGACTAGCGGTCATGAGAACCCTGTCTCAATGACTATTCACGAAAGACTCAGTCATGAGTCGAACTCAAACCCTATCTAGGATCGAGTCGCGAATAAGGCTAAGAGCCGTGTATTGCACCTTGAAGTGGTTCAATGAAACCTTTAAACCGGCCTACATGCAATACGTGTACGACCCGGCAAAGAAGGATGAACCCTTCCTAGTTCTCGACGAACAGGACAAGTGGTACAAGGTCCATGACACCTGGAGTGAGCTGATCACCCACTCCGACATCATGACTCACCTTGTGACGGATTCTTGGATCGATCAAGGCGAATACCGCACTGTATCCGAGTTCCTCAAGGACGACAAGGGCCATGTGTACTCTATTTGGCCTCGTGGTCAACTCCCGGCTTCACGTCTTACGTCCGTTGGTTTCACCGAAACAACCTTGGATGCATCGGACTTCGGTCGCATGCGGGCCATCACTGGTGCCCGTCGCAACATTATTACAAGCCACTACGCACGCACACCAACCCCCGCCCCCACCCCTACTCCACCAGTTCGCCTTCAAGCTGCCACACTGGCCCTTCCCCATGGTTTTGCACTACCCCCCGGCATGAACTTTGAGGCCTTCTTGGGAACTCTTCACGAAAAGCACCAGCAGGAGAACGGTGGTAAGTCTCCTACAGTAGCTTCCCGTATAAATCCCCCGTGCCCTCACTTTCAAATCCTTAATACTGGACCTCCCAATATTATTCGCAAACCATTCCCAGTTCCAATGCAACCAAATACGTCATCCCCCGTTCCACCTGTTCCACGAACCACGTCGGCCAAAGTGTCACCTGCGAATAGTCAGAATGATGACAATCCACATAGTATGAAGAAAGCTGCCGAACTTGCTCACGATCCTATTACCGAATACCCCAGTACCGAAGAAGAGCAGGAAACAGAGGAAGAAGAAGACACCAAGCTCCCAGCGGAAGCGAACCAACCCTCCACTTAACACATACTATCACACAAAACTTTTACAACCTCACATATACCACGTTGACTTCAAAATTGCCAAACCTAAACCCTAAATATAAGCCACATGATTGATTCGATTCTATTCACCATAATCCTGTATTAGTAAACGGGTTAAACTAGTACTGGAAACGGAGACGACCCAGAGGGCATATGAATACAGTGTTGCTGGCTTCAAAAGCATCTCATTTTTTTCAGACGGGGATCGCCTTGAAAGCGAACCACTTGCCGCCACTCTGCACTCACTCGTTTGCCCTTTCTATCACATTGACAAGGCCATTACCGCTACTATTAGCTCTACTATTACAGCTAGCAAGCTAGATGGATACATACATTCGAAAGCCACACAAATCCACAAAACAAAACCACAGAACGATATAGGTGAGCTCTTGTTTCCTCGGACGGGAACTAAACGATGAGTGACACCCTCGAGATTGCCGGCAAGGAGCCTGCGTTGAACCTTGAACGACAACACCACAACGATGTCTATCAAACGTGGATGGCATCCCGTGGGAGGGACCCATCAGAGATCCAGGAGGCATTCCTGAAGCTGGCACGAAATTCAACCAATGCGCGTGTCAAATGCGCCATGATATTAGAGACAAAAAAATCCGAGGTGTTCATCAAGCCGATGGGCTTTGTGGCGTTTGGACACGACGGAGACTTGGCCCGCAGCGTTTGCCTCCATGAAGTTCGCAACAACCCGCCTCCTAGGACGCTCAGTAGGCAATCGCTGAGACGGCTGAAACGGAAGCTCTTGGAAAGTGTGCAGATGTTCTACGCGGCAGATTGGCCATTGCAGTAAGTATGATCATGAGTTGCTGGTAAATGAGACTCTTGTGTACATCCCCGTCTACAACCGCCGTTCTGTTCGTGTATATAGGTTTTGCATAGTGACAGACACGCAGTTTGAGATCCGAAACGGCCAAAGGTTAATGGAAGAAATTCAGGCAGATATTGAGTTCTGCCCTGAAACGGGAGAGTACAAAGCTAAGCACTTTGAATCCTTGAAGACCATGTTGTCTGGTCTCTGCACGAAATATAATGAGATTGCCCCGAGGGACGCTATCGGCAGTGAGCAGGATGTACCTCGCGAGGAGGAATCTCTCGATGTCGGTCGACAACTTGAAAGTGAACTGATCAACATCGGTGGAGGTTGGCAGGAACTGATAGATAGCAGAGTTCCGCTTACAGGCATGGACATGCCAACGCCCGTGAGAAATGAAGGCACTGTTGCAACAAAGATCTTGGATGTCTTGCGCATGGAACAACGAAGAGTTCACTGTGCACTGGTGCTAACGAAAAGACAGGAGAACGAACAGATCTCGCCATTGGTCGTTGCATCTTTTGGCACCAACGGCAAGCTTGCGACCACTCTTGGTCTGGCGGTGGTGCGCGAAAAGCCGCCTTTCAAACCGGTCAACAGGGGCCTCGGGCAATACAGGAGAAAGCGCATGGGGGATGACCAGATCTTTTACGCGGCCGACTCCAACGGCACCTGTAAGTGCGACGGGACCTTCACCTGGTCATACGACCCTTGGTGTCGGGGCTCTTTGTTTCCGTTGTTCCTGACGCTTGTGTTGCACGCTGCCAGGTTTTTGCATTGTCACTGGGCACCAGTTCGAAAAGAGGAAGGCTACGCACCTGCTCCGAGAAATGAAAGCTGGGTTCTCTCCAAAATCCGGCCGCTGGGGCTTGAAAGCCAGCGAAGAAGAGCTGATTGAGCTGTGCCGAAAGTACAACTCGAAAGGATTCCATTTGTCGGAGAAACACCAGACGACAAGAAAGAGGAGGATGCAGTACCGCACGATACGGAATGTACCAACGATACCCGAGGCCACCGACGAAGAAGCTGATGTCGTCAAGGCAAAACAACCAGAAAGAAGCTTTGCAAACCAACTGACGACAACCGAGACACCCCAACCGCCACTGCCCAGATCCCGAAGCAAGCAGCTCCAGGACTTTGCAAAGCTCGCCCAATCGCAGACACAGAATTTAGTACGGAATCGACACCTTGCATCTCGTGGTTTGTACCGCAACGGGAGCTTGGCGCCATCCATCACAAGCCTTGGTTCCAGAGACGACATGCTCCCGTTTGGCTGGGAAACCGGATCTGGAAACGACGCATTGTTCATCTGGGAGGGTCTACAACCCATGGACCCCACACCAACCTTGTTTCCCTATTATGAGTCTGCTGGCACAAGCCTTCCTGGGCCAGGTTGTTCCACGGTACGGTCCATGGGGACCAGCACGGCCAGGACTAGAAGCTGTGAGTTTATCCAGTGGGCAAGGCACCGCTAAGCGCAAACATCGTGGCAATGCATGTCTCTTGAAGTGTTGAAGCATACGGTAACTACTATTAATAGATACATCATTAATCAACTTCCTTGACGACAGCCTTTTTGCGATCATTCTCGCGCTGATAAGTGCCCGGCTTGCTGTGTTTGATGCGATTCTCTTGCTTTCGCTTGGCGCTGTCCTTTTGGATTCTGGCCTGTGCGGACAGTTTCTGAATGACCTTGGGGACCTTTCGTGATTTGTAAATGCCTCGTACTTCGGGCAAGTGCTGATGTTTCTTAATGAGTGCTTGACGATAGTCTCGGGCAGCTTCCTCCCTGGTGGTTCGCTGTCCCAGTTGCTCACTGGCTCGCGCTTTCCACAACCTCAAATTCGAGTCGTCGCTACCAGATACCACAAACCTATGATCCATGGTATATTGTACTGTGAACACTCGTTGCATTCGTTTGGTGTGGTAGATTTCTCGGGAGTACCCCATGTTGGTCGGAAAGATCCGCAAGGTCCGATCATAACTGCCCGTGACAAACTCTCGACCGGTTGGTGACCACCCCACGGTCATGACGGCCGAAGTGTGTCCTTTGTAGATGCGTGTGGGAGAATTCAGCTTTCGCATATCAAATGTGTAGGCATTGTAATCTTCATTGGCGACACAAAAGTTCATGGGTTCCATGGGATTCCATTCGAGGGCATTGGATCTCATGCGCAAGACAGTCTTTTTCAAGGCTTTGGAGGCTCGAGTGTCATGCAATCCAACCCCTCTGTCTGCGGAACAGTGTGCCAATAAGCATCGTTCGGCAGGATTGTATCGAACTACACTGACCGTGTCGTCCGATCCCCATAGATCAGAGTGTGTTTGCAGGGGTGTGGACCGCTCTGGTGACCAAATACAGACCGCTTCATCCGAGGCAGTGGCAAACTCATGGTCCATCCAATGATGATCCATGGATTTGAAAGACCCAGGCGTGCGCCAAGTCTCCAAAGGGCCATGATAGGGTCCTTTGGTAATACTGTCGTCCTCCTCGTCACTATCAGATTGTTGTCGTTGCACGGCATGAATCGACCATTGTCGGACCAAACCATCGTCCCCACAACTGTAGAATCGATCTCCTTCAATATCAAAGACCACACCGGTGACAGTCCTCGAATGACCTCCTTCCAACGTGGCTACGCTGGTACGAGTGGCCAAATCCCACAATTTCAAGACTCCATCGGCACCGCCACTGACCAAGGGCAGCAAGGATCTTCGACTGAGTGCCGATACCGTAACAGCGTCAATATGCCCTTCACCCAAATTGCCAATCAAGGGCGCCGCAAACATTCGATCCAGCTTGGCAGATTGGACGGCACGGACGTATTCTCGCGATCGCTGCATCGGATGATACTGGGGATTCAGGTTGCGAGATTCACGACGCAAGTCACCAGAACATTCTCGTTCGACCGAGTTTTGAGATCGGGACAGTGTCTTGATCTTCATTGTAATAGATATATGTTGGCTTCTAATGAAGCTTCTTGGACTTGAACACCTCTAGCTAGGGTAGCAAATTCACACCCTCGATGGCAAGGAGACACAGCACAAACTTTGCGTTGGCTGCAATGCTGCGATGTTGTTGTTCGTCATGGATTGCGCTCATGGTTTCCTTTCTGCAAAAACAAAAATATATTTGAATGGTGGTGGTTCAAGCCGATCCACTGGCTGATTTACTTCCAACCTCCTGTCAGGTGGACAGACAGCCCAGACGTCGACGACATACTTCACCTTTCGCTACCGTAAAGGTATTGGTTTGATACAAAATTTGAGTATTAAGCCATTGGATTCACCTTCAGAAAGGCCGCGTTGAAGAATATACTTGAAGCCTTGAAGCGGAGAAAGGCGACGCACAACGATCTGCGAAGAACACACTTCAGACACATTTGGGAGCATTTTGGGTGTGTTCTGTAAGAAGATCTTGGACGAATATAGGATTAACAGGCAAAACTCACTTTAATTCTGTACCTCCAACAAAATGGGACTGACTATATTATTGTAACGCGCTCAAGCGCCCCTACCAGTATGTACACTGCAGACCTAGCTAGAGCAAGGTGGGCTTTGGGTCCTGACTGATGGGCAGCAATTAGGTTGACTGTGTGTTGCCTTTAGTTTTAGTCTGTGGCTGGTGGCTGCGGCGATGTGGCGAAGAATAACGTACTAGCTAGTACTCGAGCAATGATGAAAGCCCTGTGCTTGGATCCGTTCCAAGCAAAAGCAAAGGCCGCAAAAGAAATCGGAAAACGGAAGCAAAGCTATTAGTAGGTTTAAAAGACCGCCACTTATCGGTACCACCAACATTGTCATGACATGACCACCATCGTTGCCCCAACGGTCGGCAACTAAAGCAGAGAGAGATGTACATGACGTACATGACATTGTAAGTAGGTACATGTAGCTACCGGTACCGGTAGCCAAAGCCAGAAACGAGAACATCTATCTATTCATCTATTTAGCCACAAAGCAAAAAGCAAGAGTGTGTTCGTCAGCGGTTCTACCGGTACCGACTGGTAGCTCAACTAGCTAGCTGGTGGATCAGTCCATCTAACGAAATTCAAAAGGAAGATATTATTGAGATATTGTCCCCGATCTCTGATCTCTCCCAGCAAGTGCCAAGAGATGGTGCGGTATTGTTCTCTCGAGTACCGGTATTGGCATCAAGTACTGTAGCTACCGTATGATGAATGGTGATGGTTACCCATTCCCATTTCACCAGCGATGCGTTAAAAGCTGAGGTGCCCTCGTTGACAACCCACCAAGCCGCCAAGCGCCAAGGCGACTGCCAGTCAGACCCACTTATCATCACCGTGTCACCGTGTCGCAAAGCAACTTGAAATATGAAATATTTCATTGCAGCTGTACTGCCGTACTAATAGTACCCTACTAGTAGTACAATACTCGAGTCTCGAGTCGAGTCGTCGACACTTTAATACTATTAATAGTATTAATAGTTATATTTTCGTTGATCCCCCGAGTACCAGCATTCTGAGATTCTGAGACTGGCAAGACTGCGGCGTGATATCCGAGTACGGGTACAAGTAGGAATGGTAGCACGTGTAAAACCATGTCTAAATCAATGGTGCGCAGATTGAATTAAGGACATCAGTACGGCTTTATTATCTTTGGATACCGAATTATGTTTCTTGGGTAACCCATTGTCTCAGACGTCAAGTATGATTTATCGGGGGCTTTAGTAGCTGAAACGGATCCACGCTTCCGAAGTGAATTGAGACAGCTATTGAGACACAGATGCTGAATGGTCGCCTCTGTGGGTTCCTTTTGGTACTCGTGTGGACTTGTAAGATCTCACCGTAGCCTCTCACGTCTCACCCGTACCCGTCTGGAAACCTGTGGGAGCCAGAGCTGAGCCAGTAAATAACTACTACAAAGTACTATAGTCCGTAAGTGTTATATGCTGTATTGTGTACTCCGTTACTCCTGTACCGGTACTCCTCTCTAGCTCTAAATAAACTAACTCTGAACACACAAGCACACAGGTGAACACTTTTCATCCTTCCTTGGAGCCGAGCCGGAAGCTTCTCGACTGGATCCCCCGATCCTGTTCAATCGCTGCTTCGAATCGAGTGTGTTCTCTCTCTCTCTCTTGGGCGGTTGCATGCTGCCAGTTACTCTTCGTAGTTGCCATATTTTTTCTTCTCGACTATTTGATAATACCAACATCATGCACAACTATATCCTAGCAGACTGCCATTCCAACGCCAAGACCAAGACAATGGCAAACCTTTCTAACACAGCCAACCTGAAGCATGCAGATACCTACGAAGAGCATGCAGAGAGCCTCAAGCCTCGTTCCAAGGAGCGTCTGTATCCCTCGATGGACGACTTCAAATTTGGCTCTCGGAGGAGACCAAGCGATGCGTCCACCATGTCACTCAGGTCTTTGTGTTCCTTGAAGCCTCCTCCTCCGTCATCAGTACATGTTGCTGATACATGCAGCAGCAGTGGGGATGAGGTGACAAAGATCATTGCCAATACTGACTTCTTGGGCGACTCTTCTCATTCCTACTATGAAGATATTGATACCAGCTGCCACGACGTTTCGCTTGCTCCTCCCAGCGACCTGATCATGTCCTCCCCTCGTGTCAAGCGCTGTTCGGTTTCCTCCATCCAAACTCTTCCTAGTGACTGCTCTGCCGAAGACCTCACTGCCATCCAAGTGGCCTTGTACTCGGATGATGAAGAAGCAGAGGAACGGTCCATGGCACTCGTCGAGCAGCTCCTACGAGAAGAGTTGGGACTTCCCAACCATCAGTCCGCTGCTTCAACTTGTGAAGACAGCTCTTCGGGACAACCACAAGAACAACAAGGGGGAGCTTCTCGCAGAGCATCTTCCACCAGGGGACCAAAAACAGTTCAAGAAATCACACAAGATCTCATCTACCAAATCTGTCTTCAACTCGATGAAGTCAACCCGGACGTCAAGTCGGAGAATTGGAAAATGCTGGCGCCTCTGGAGATTGAAAAACTCGAGCTCTTTTGCTACGACGTTAACAACACCGCTGCTATGGGATGCGAAGACACAAACTGCCTCGTTTGCCAGCAAGAATACCAAAACGAAGAGTCCCTCCGCAAGCTTCGTTGTGGACACTGCTTTCATCAACAATGTGTCGATCCATGGATCCTAAAGCATGACTTTTGCCCCGTCTGCCGAAAGGCCATTGACGAGGAATGAATAATAGAACACACACACACACACACTCCTCCTCCTATCTACTACTACTACTACTATAACCATAAGCTACGTATTAGCTATTAGAACACATGCTGATCACAACAACATGTATGTATTAGTATTCTGGCTTGCTAGCTAGTAGTAGGTCCAGCTAGCCCTCGCCATTGCCTCGGAGCCAAGTTGCTTTCACCTCCTTGCCGAGTCGAGTCGAGCCCAAGCGATAGCTGCATTCCCACAAGGTGCCCAGCGGTTTGCTTGATCTTGCAAAATCTACAGGACTTGACTACAGGAGTTGTCTCACCGTGTCCAGGGTATCTGTTTTAAAATAGTAGAGCATGTGCGCATAAAACAATTGATTTTTTGTAGACAAAGGTTTACAACGACTTCCCTCTCGTGGCATCCTCCTCAGCGGCAAAAAGGAACAAACGAACAAACTGTTCGATAGATCCTAGATTCTGCTAAGGCAAGATATCTGATAGTCTAGAGTAGAGAGCTGACTAGATCCCTGAAGAAGGGACGGCTTTCAAGTTCGCAGGACAAACAGGTCCAACCGCTCACTGATTCTACGGCAACTCGATCCACACCGTACTATTGCTTGCTTTTTGCTTGCTTGCTTCCTTGTTGCCTGTGAGTTGATCCACAGACTGGAATTGTCTGCTGACTTAACGGGTTATTGCTGGAAGCATGAGCTTGTGGCTGAGAGCAATTCGTAAGTTGCGCATGCGCAAGCTAGTTCTCGCCAAAGGGTACCAGGAGGTTGTGGTTGAGAGCTGAGACAACATCGGGAGCACCGAGTTGATGAGGGTGCTGGACCGAGTTTGTAGCTAGTACCACCGGTGCCCTAGCTCTTCCCTCTGCAGTAGACACAGCCACCAAATCTATTGGGAGAAGTGCAGGTGCCTACTACAGCACCTCGCCGCTCACCGACCAACAAGAAAGTGTATTTTAGGCACAGAAACAATATCTGTTTGACTTTCCTGTCAGCTGATAATCACTGTTTGTCCGCTGCAATCGGCAGGAGGAGAAGAATCAGCCAAGGCCAGGAAAGTCCCTGGGATTGGACCACCAGCTATAGTGTCTAGCTAACGCAGCCACGGACCGGTAGGACCTTCAGCTGTGATAGTCAGTCTACTGTTGTGGAGATTGGAGAGCACCCTCAAGACTTGACCTTGCTTGGCACCGATGTTGTCTTCAATAGTTTTTTCACTGCTAGTCCCTGATCGATTTTTGCTAGTCGTTGCAAGTCCCCACGCGGAGCGCCCGCCAAGCGAGGATACCCAATGACAGTTACCGTTTACCACAGCCGTCAAACTCGCGACCGAACAGATCCAACAAGATCCCACTACCTGGTACCAATCATGTCATCCTCCAAGGCTGGTCCCCAGAGCCCCTGCTCCCATCTCGAGTTGCTGCTGCCATCCGTTCACTGCACAAATACTATGCCTTTGAACTCAACCCCACCTCCGAAGCAGTCATCACCGACATCCTCCTTCGAGCAGACAAGGTGTCGCCCCCACCCAAACGCCACACTGCCGTCACCCCCGACCGCAAACCTGCTGCAGCCCGGGCAACTTCCACCTCGAAACTGCCCCTCGCTCCTCCCACCCACATCACCACTGACACCAGCACCGATACTGCCAACCAAGTCATTGCCCAGACCCCGCGCATGAACCCAGCTCACATGCACCCCACCACACCACCATCCCAAAAGCCCTCGGCCCCCACACCCACCTACGACCTCAACCCCAATGCTCCCTATGAGAAACATGGTGGCAGCCTCACCAGACGCCGCTTCACTGGCATCTACACCCACTCCCATGACGAAGACACCTCCAACCTTGACAGTGATGTCAAATCCATCGTCCAACTTGCACTTGCCCACCACACTATCCACTTCCCCGGAGGCATCCCATTCAAGCTCTGGGATATCACCTTCAAAGAACAGACTGCCTCCGGCCCCAACAAAGATGTGATGCTGGATGGAAAGGGGTCTCCGGGTCAAAGTTGTAGGTGAGGTATGCCAGGTGGGGAGTTTCAGCGAGGAGTGCTGCCTCATCAGCTGCAGTGGCAACTACGACAGAGGTTGTGGTGTGGGAGACATGCTGGAGGGGGTCGTGAAGGGCAGCCATGGCCCTTTTAATGCCAGCCACGAGGGGTGCCTTATCTCTGGGTGACGGGAAGGGGCGGGGTGTGAGGGGCACACCGGGATCTTCTTGGCTTCGCCAAGGTTGACTGCTGCCATGATGGCGGCGAACACCCCAGGGGTGGATGTGCATAGAAAGAGGACGCTGGCGCCGTGGGGGGTGTTGGGAACAGAGACATAGCCAACACGGATTCCAACTTTGTCGCTGAAGAGTTCCTCAGTGGAGATGGACAGGGCATAGGGGTCTTGCTGGTTGAGGAGGGGGCAGAGGTAGTGGAAGAAGGCTTGGGAGATGTGGTCAATGGCTGATGGGATGCCTTGCTGGCCAGGGCGGGGGCCAAGGGTGGGTCCTGGGATGAGTGCCCGGGCTTTCTCCACGTGGCAGTTGCAGGAGGGTTTGAAGAGTTTGAAGCGTTGGGCTGCTGCAAGGGAGGAGGGGGGTTCAATGGCAGCAGTGGGGCGGAGGACTGGGGTGCCTTGACTGTCTTGGTAGTAGTGGGTGCGTAAGTGTTGGACCATGTTGGAGTTGACAAACAGGTTGCAGGCATCAGTGAACAGTTCAGGGTCGAATTGGTCAGCGGTGATTGCTGGGACGAAGGTGACAGCATACTTAGTGAGGCGGTTGGC